CTGAACCTATCTGGTAAACAGCCTTAGAGGTGAAACTGGCAGCCAGCTAATGGCAAACAGCAGCAGCAGCATGCATTGAAATACAAGGGAAAGTGGAAATAACAACAGGTCATTTGAAAAGGTACAAGCCCTAGAAGTCTTTGACAATGCTTTTTCCTTGCTCTCAGAATGGTGCTTCTGCTGATCAGTGTATTTTGAGCTTATTTGTTTTTAAGTTACTTTCTTTCTTTCATGAGAGAAAAAGAGAGATGCAGAGATCCCCCAGACAGTCTTGCCATATGCAATACCACTCTCCCTCCCTCAACATGTTAGCCACCAGGATACAGGGCGTGCCTGGCACAGACAGGTTGACCCAGTCTTCCGTATGTGTCTCCAGTATTGCATCGCAGTTCCCTACTGCTTGCACCACGATGGCTGGGCCTGTCTCTCTCTCTCTCTTTTTTTTTTTTTGAGAGAGATTTTTGCTATAGGGCATGTGCACTCACCAGACAGAGAGAGACAGAGAGACAAAGCAAGAAATCACCCCCCAGGGGGATGGCCATGTTGCAATCCCTTCTCCTCCACTCTCCTCTTGGGATCTTGGGCATGCACACACATGTGCCCAGCATGAGTTTAAGCCAACCAGGTCTAGGACTCGAATCGCGGTTGACTACATGGGAGTCCAACAACATAGCCATTACGCCAACTGCTGGTCCCAGGCCTGTCTCTTGAGGTATTTTTTGGAAAATATCTCTATGGAAAAGAAAAATAGCTCTAGAGTAACAGAACCAACTAGAAAGAACTATTTTAGAGAGAGATTTTTGCTATCAGGCACATGTGCTTGCAAGAGAGACAGAGAGACAGAAAGTGAGTTATCACCTCCCAGAGTGGATGGCCACACCACAATCCCTTCTCCTCCATTCTACTCTTGGGATTTTGGGCATGCATGTACACATGGAAGTGTGAGTTTTAAGCCGCGGTGTCTGGGACTCAAACTGCTTCAACTACGTGAGAGTCCAGCGATGTAACCATTCCGCCATCTACTGGTCCCTAGAAAGAACTATTTTGTGCCATCAATTAAAGCAGCAATCCACAACCTTTCTGGCACCAGGAACAGATTTCATGGGAAATAATTTTTCCATGAAGGAGAGGAGAGGAGAAGGGTGAAATGGTCTGGGGATGATTCAAGTGAATTACATTTACTGTGCATTTTAGTTCTACTATTATTGTATATATTTATATATAATGAAATAATTATACAATTCACCATAATGCAGAATCATTATGAACTTGTTATCCTGCAAGTAGATGGTCCCATCTGGGGGCTCCTATGAGAATTTAATGCCACTGCTAATCTGGCAGGAGGTGGAGCTCAGACAGGATGCAAGCAATGGGGAGTGGCTGTAAATGCAGATGAAGCTTAGCTCCCTGTCAGCTGCCCATCTCCTGCTGTGTGACCCAATTGTAACAGACCTTGGACCAGAACAAGTCCATGACCCAGAGGTGAGAGACCCCTGAATTAAAGCAGTTAGTTCTTTTGCCAAATGTGGGCTTTTAATGTGTATGCACAGATCCCTACCAATGTGGTTTCATATCTTACATGCATCACAAGATAGAAATAAAAATGATCCATGACGTGACTTGCAATTTCTGCCTACTGAAAAACTGGATGGAGGTGACTTACCCATTAACCAAGGGACCTTAATTCCAGGCAGGTGGTTCAAATTTTCATTCAATAGTGTGTCGTTTGCCTGGCTCTCAACTGACAGCTGGAATTAAAGAAAGAAATGAGCCTCCTACTCCAGTATGATAGCCTTATGGGAACACTAAGAGGTAAATAAAAAATGAAGCACATCTACAATCTTTCATATAATGAAAGCATAAAAGCATTTGCAGGTATATCACATAGGAGACAACAATAGACTGAGGGATTTTTAAATCAGAGAGCAAGCAGACCATTGCTGAAGATTAAGTGAGGACAATGCACAAATTAACTTTTGCAGCAATCCTTGAGGAATGTCTTGTACTGGGGTAATTATTTTTCCTTATTCATAATAGAGTACATGCACATGAGAGTGAGGGAAAGAAATCAGCACAAGGCCTGGTCGAGCCATGGCCTGCTTCCTGCAGTCCTCCAGCTCATCAGATCTGGGGCACTTGCACATATGCCCTGCATATTTCAGGCTGATCAGGGATTTGAACCATAGTCATCACATGGAATCTGGCTTCTCTAGAGCAGCACATTAGTGTTGCACCTCAAAGCTGGCCCTTCCTGGAGTAATATTGATCTTAGCAAGGAGGGCAAGAGACAAACAAAAGATATCAAAAAGGAATCTCCAGCAACTAGATATAATTTCTAAAATATAAAGGAAAATAAAAGGGTACAAGTTTAGCCACAACTCTTTTAATCTGCATGAAAGTATTAAAAAAAAAAAGTCTGGGGCCAGCAGGTGGCATGGTGGTTAAAGGCACTGGACTCCCACATGGCCGACCGTGGTTCAAGTCCTAGACCCGGTGGCTTGCTTTCTCACTTTCCCTCTCTTTCTCGCTCGGTTTCTCTCTGGTCAAATTAAAACAAATAAAGTTAAATAAAATCATTCTTTAAAAAAAAAGAAAGTATAAAAAAAGAGTCAAAATTGTCTGTAAGTGATAACTCACAAGTGTCAACCTGCGGAGATAAATTTCAAAAAAAATAGAGTAGGTTATTCGATATTAACAAGTACATTTTTAAAAAGAATAATATGCTTTAAAACTTGGGAAAAATAATTTTGAAAATGAGATCAACTGATAAAAATTATCAGTGATACATCTAAATACACGGTAGATTATAATTTAGGTCACCTTCCAATTACAGACTACAAAGGTTCAGAAATAGTTAAAAAGAGTTCACATTACCTGACATCCCGGTAGCCCCAAGAGGTACTGGACCCTAATATAGGCTCTAGGGAATGTGGGTTTGGGTTTCAGAATCTTGGACTTTAGGGTTGAAGGACTGATGCTGTTGAAGAACTACAACCCCTGCAGAGAGTCAATGAAGAGTCCCAGGCATCCATGGAAGGCAAAGTGTCAAACTTGCCCTATCCAGTGAAGAGTCCCAGGCATCCAATCCATGAGAGACTCTGCCCCCATGGAAGGCAAAGTGTCAAACTTGCCCTATGGGTGTGAAAAAGAGAACCTTCTGAAAGAAATTTTAAAACCCAGGCTTGTCCCATATGTGGGAGTACAGTCAAAGCTTACACTTCCTTTATGGGGCATAAATTTTGAACTCAGAAATGAACTTAAGAAAACTGGTCTGTAACTGAAGAAGCACCTCAGGCTCTGACAGAAGCAAACAGTACTACTTGGGATGCTTTCAAACCATTGGCTACGCAGACTGTGTGGTGGTTAAGGATGCTGGACTCCCACAGGGCCAACCAGGACTCGGTCAACCAGGATTTGAGTCCTGGACCTGGTGACTTGCTTCCTCTCTCTCTCTCTCTCTCTCCCCTCTCTTTTGCTCTGTCTCTCTGGTCAAATAGGAATAAGTAAATGAATAAATAAATAAAGTTAAAATAATTCTATTAAAAGAAAAAGAAACAACAGCGAAAGATGAGCTCACAATAGAAAATTGCAAATCACATAGGAAAAGGAGCCACCATGAGGAAGAGATGGCATAGAGAAAAATGAACAACTTTTCAACCTAAATATTAGGCATAATACAACTATTTGAGTTTATAAACTATATGTATCAAAAATTATTAAATAAATGATTTAAATTCTTATTATTTAAGTTATTAAAGAATAGAATCAATAATGAATCTCTTAGATCTTGATTTCTGAGATCAAGAAATAGGCATTTCCCTGGAACTTTTAAGTAAACTCTGTTTTTGTTTCTTTGGAGGGGAAAATGAGGTAGGAAGAGTTTATAGAATACGAAGGGCATGAGGCAATTTTGGGGGGTGATGAAAATATTCTGTAACTATTGCCATAGGGTTACAAAATGGTAAATGTTTGTCAAAACTCAGAGCTGTGCTAACTGGGTGCCATAAATTTACTGTATGTAAATTATGCTTTAGTGCCTGACACACATACACACATACACACACACACACACACACACACACGCAAAAGTAATCTTTCCTCTTTCATGAAACCTACAAACCAAAAAAGCATCAAACCAAACAAACATTGTCATTCTGAGAAGAAATTTTGCAAAGATACAGAAAGAAAGAAACTTGCGCAAAAAAAAAAAATAAATAAAAAATAAAAAGAAGTCAAGGAAAAGAAGTGGATACAAATGATAGGAAGGATTACTGAATTTTATCCTTTAATTCTGACCTGAACAACATGCCCCAAAGACAAACATGGGTGAGGCAGCCTCAAGTGAGAAGCAGCTTCCCTGGTAAGATTCAATGTCAACTCACTGCCACTTCCATTTTTGAAAAATGTATAGCAGCAATATTCACCTTCTTTTATAACACTGGAAAAACAATAACGAAATCCTTAGTAAACAGACAGTCACTGAAAAGTGACATTAAGTTTGCCAAATCGGAAAGTAGAAAAGATCCTTTGAATTAGCCTTAGCCAATAGTGAGTAATATGGTCCTAAGCAAACACCTCACTTCTTTGTTCCTGAGTTTCCTCATTAGTGATATAAAAGGAACGAGTCAGATGATCTCTTGGGTCCATTCCCACGCTCATGTTCTGAGAGCTTATGACAATGTGGTCCTAAGCAAGGAACCACAAAGATTTCCAAGTCAAAATACTTACTTGGAGAAAAGTTAAAAATCTGTCATTCTAACTGCCGTGGTAGATTGTACAATTTCATTGAGTAGGAGAATCAGGATTTCCTCACACAAAAAAAAGAAAGTGAAACCAAATCTTCATTTGGAGGTTTTGTGGTGGTGACTATTTTCTCACAGATGCAACCAGAAGGAAAATGTCGATGTTAATGACAATATTTATGTGATTTTGAAAAGACTTGGCAAATTAGCTTCATACTAATGTCCCGTTCCTCCAAAGTTCTATGTTAACTCCTTGGAACAGATCATTGAAACAGCCACTCCTACCAGCTCAAGCAAAACTTGAAGTCTAGTAGAAAAATGTCAGCAGAGTCCACGAGTATTCCCATTTCCTCCCCAACCCATTCTATCCCAACACCTGGTAATCACTGTTTTGTTCTCTCTCTATATATATATACTTTAATTTGTTTTTAGAGTCAACCTGAGTGAGATCATGCAACATTTTCTTACTCCATCTGCATTATTTCCCTTAGGACAATGTGCTCCAGACATGTCATCTATGTTGTGGCAAATGGCAAGATCTCGTTATTTTTTAGGGCTGAATAATATTCCATCGCCTATAGGTACCACTGTTTCTCTCCCTACTCATCCATCAACAGATCCTTGGGTTGCTTCCTTACTACCCTATTGTGAACAATGCTGCAATGAGTAGGGGGTGCAGACATATTCACCAGGTAGTGATTTCATCTCTTTGGATTTATACCCAGAAGAAGAATTGTTGGATCACATGGTAGTTCTATTTTTTAATTTTTTTAGAGACTTCCATACTTTTTTCCATAAGGGCTGCACCAATCTACATTTCTGCCAATAATGTACAAGAGTTATCATTTCTTGGGAGCTGGACGGTGGAGCATTGGGAATACACAATGCTCTGCAAGGCCGACTCACATGAGATGTTCCAAGTTCATACCCAGGGACCTCCCTGAGTGCACCTGGCATTCCTCATGCCCTTGATGAGGGGCTTCCTGAAGCTAGGGGGTGGACATTAGTGCCAAGACTCTGTCCAGAGAACCCTCTGTCTCTCTCTGTCTGTCTCTCTCAATAATAGAAGAAACAAATAAGTAAACTTTCTTTAAAAGTGTTTCTATTCTTCGTAGCTAAAGAATTCATACAACAAGAAATGATTGCATGCATCAATAGAAAAAGGGTGAAGAACTATAAGAGAAGTGTTATTTACCAAAAAAATGTATGAAAAGAATATTCATCCTGTTAGTAGCCCAACTATTTGTCTAACTGCACATTTCTCTCTTTTTTTAAAAGAATTATTTAATATTATTGATTATTGTTATTATTTTAATTTTCTATATGGCACATATGCTCACAAGAGGTGAGGGGAGTGAGAAAGCAAGCTGCCGGGTCCAGGACTGAACTGTGGTTGGCCATGTGAGAGTCCAGCAACCCTAACCACCATGCCACCTGCTGGCCCCATCTCTTTTTAATAATAATACCCAAGGCTGTGGAAGGTGTTATAAATGTGCTTTCTTAAATATGCAAGAGAGTGCATAAAATAATACACATTTTCTATAACATAATTAGTCAATATGCATCAACTATTCAGATATTTATTTACCCTTTAATCCAACACTTGCACTTCCAGGAATGTGGTCTGAGAAAATAAATAGATCTCAAAAACTATGAATAATAATGTATTTATATGAAAGTAGCTATAAAACTTAAAACAACCTAGTGTTCAAACAGAAATGGCGTAAAAAAACAATCCATCGTTAGGTTAAAATTCTTTGCAACCATTATATAGTATGCTGGGCCATCCAGTGGTGTGGTGGTTAAAGCAGCTGGATCCCAGTGGCCAATTGCTGGGTTCAAGTCTTGGACCTGGCAGCTTGAAAAACACACCAGGTGCACATGTGGGTGCACCCAGAATCCCAAGATGAAAAGGAGGAGAAGGGATTGTAGTGTGGCCATTCCTCTGGGGAGTGCTTTCTCATTTCCCCTCTTTTTTTTTATCCTTTCTCTGTTTCTCTCCAGCAAATGCACACACCCTGTAGCAAACACACACACACACACACACCCATAAAAGAATGCTACAATAGAATATTAATGTTCTGAATAATTTATCATGTAGATATAGATGTAGCTATAGATACATATAGAAATATACACTCACCATATATCCACCCAAATAGGTATTCTTTCTGAGCAGTACTGTTATGGAGACTTTTCCTTTGTACATGTATGTTGTCTATTTTTCAATTTCTATTTTAAAAAAGTACATTGCATTATTTTTACAATTAAAAAATAATTATTTTTCAATTAAAATGCAAATTCTTCAAACAGGGAGGCATTATTTTTAGCTGTCTTATCTGTGGTAAGGTTTTAATCCCGTCAAAGGAGGTCACAAAAGCGGCAGTACATTCTAGGAGGCTGGAATTAAACTGTCTTCTTCACAAATTTGCAGTCTCTTTACATGTGCCTTCCCAAAGCAAACGCAACTGTGTATTTCTGACAAGAGCGATTAGCTTTTGATGATGAGTTCGACCAAAATAATTAAGACAGTGTTCAGAACCTTCCAAAGCAATAACACAAACAATAACAACAGCATAAAAAGCACAATAAAATGGGTAAAATACAAAATCCAAACCAAGTCATCTCATTAAAAACAAAGGATTAGTGCTGAAATTGTGTAGGCTCTCTGAACGAACTTGTTTTCTTCATCATTTTGATTTGTAAGTGCCTGTTCCAGAACGACTTTATTCTCCCTCCTTAATGGTGCTTTTATGATCGTGTTTGGACATCGCCTATGTGAGATGCACTTATATAGCTGTTTGCTGAGAAGAGTCTGATTGGTGAGAGAGGAAATGTATTGTTTGCCATATTAAAATAAACACAACAGCGTAGACTATACTAAGAACTAATAAAAAATGTACTATGTTTTTATATCCTATAAATGTAGTATGAATTAAGCTGAAGTAAGTCTGGCCCCCCTCTCCCTGCCTTTCTCTCCTTCCTTAATATTTCTCCCACCTCATGCCAAAGTGACCAACGTCCACCACTCTTGAGTCATTCGCCGGAGTCCTGAAGGCATTTATCTCATTAAGTCTTCTATTATTGAAAAGCAAATAGTCTCTGAGTCAAATTCAGCTCCATCTTTGATCAGCTGCAGTCATAGGAGAGCAAGAAACTGACCAGAAATAATACCCAGGTGAGGGGACTATGTACCCAGGTCATTTTAAGGGCATGTGGGAAGCAAAAGACAATGAGAAAGGGACATACAGACACGCCCTCCTTATCAGCCATGCATCTGCGTACAGAAGCTGGGCAAAATAATCCAA